AAGCTTACCCGGTTTGGTAGCTATTTCAGTTTCTTGTATTAATAGTTACTATTTTGTGCCTGCTGACTGTTCTAATTGATTTGTGAAGTTCGATACCATCTTGATGAGGATCCGAAAACTTTGAAGGTGTTTCAAATACCACTTCATGATTCAAGTGGTTCTGCTTTGCACTATGACCGTCTCAGCTTATCTCCTGATGGCAAGATACTGGCAACAACTCATGGTTCAACATTACAGTGGCTGTGCATCGAAACAGGAAAGGTCTTGGATACAGCTGAAAAAGGCCCATGATGGTACATTCCAAGCACCAAAACATTTATTTTGTTGTATCCATACCATATCCTCACATATGAATCTATAGAAGGATGTCATACCTAACTTTAGTGCTAATGTTTTTCTTAGTCCTGATGCTCTATAATGACCATCACCCGAGTCGGGGCACTTCTTTCTTGTATGGTCGATTGACATTAGTTACAGGATACTATTTGTGATTCGGGCATTAAGCTTCATTTTATGCTGCAGGTGATATTACATGGATTACGTGGTCACCTAAGCCTATACCGCTAGGTAACTAGAATTTTCCGTTTGTGTGAGTTTATGTGATATCTATCTCCAGCTGCTTTTCTTACAATGAACATTGTTTACATAGGAAATGAACGAGTGGTGGTTCTGGCTACAGCAAGTGTTGACAAGAAAGTGAAATTGTGGTTAGCACCACCCGTAAATTCTTCATGAGCAACTCATTTTGCGTAGAATTTCGCGGAGAGTCCGGGCATAGTTGTGGATGCAGTTTTAATCTGCTCAAACAATCTTTAACATCAATAGAGAATTCATACTTAGCTCTTATGGAGTGGTCGAGTTGTTTGGAGCCAGATACGGAGGAATCTTTTCATGTGTGGTTGAATAGGGTTTTCATATTACTGTAATTTTGCTTACTTGAAAGTTTTAAAAGAGATGTGGTGGCTATGTAGCTCTTTTAACTTTTTCCTGAATGGTATTGGCCTTTTCTTCACAACTCACACGACTGGCAATTCTCCTGTGTTTATGAGTTATTTGACCTCACTTTTTTTTTTTCAAGGTGAAGATGTACGTATACATGATGACTTATTAACTATATAAAAAAAGCATTTAGGTATATGTATCTCATCACCATATAATTTAAAAATATTTAATGAAATTAACTAAATAAATTAATCTCAAAACCAAAAATACGCATCTTAAAAAAATTATATAAAACATTAAACCTAAAAATTTCGACAAATTTTATTTGGAGAACATGAAATTACTTAAATTACTAAAAAAATACAATAATTTGTTTATAATTGAATATCTTTTATATATATACAGTTAAAATTATAGTTAATATAAGAGTGTAGTTCTAACAGAATTGGTGCCACAATCCCGTAAAATCGATCCTTTATGCTTAAGGTCTTGAGGTTTAAGTCTGACTAATAATGAAAAAACAATTTAAATCAGTAGGCTCTTCAAATAATCTTACTGAAGCATATTAAACAAAGTTTCAGGGTTGAAATCGAATATATATGTCCCAGGAATATAATGCCAAACATTTTAAAATTGTTGAAAAATAATTGAAAAAAATAAGTTAAATGTGACATTTCAACAACAATCCATTGTCGTCCAGTGGTTAGGATATCTGGCTTTCACCCAGGAGACCCGGGTTCAATTCCCGGCAATGGAATGTTTCTTTTAAACATTAGAACAGAAAAGATGGGGTTCCGCAGAAACGTTTTAGAGTACTTGCTTTGCTCATTCAGCATTTACAACTCTCTTTTTCTTCTCCTTTTTTAAATTGGAAAGCAGTTGAGAAATGGCAGGGCAGCTCAGTTGCTTGTAGTGTCGATGCCTGGTTAATCTGTGTTTTTAGTTGAGCCAACATTCTTGTTGCAAAACAAATTTCCATCATCTTTTGAAAGTTGAAATCGAAACAAGTTCCTAGCTATCTTCCTGTTGCTTTTGTAAAGCCTTCACATCAGCTTGAAATCCCCAGGCCAGGATGGCATAACACATTAAAATTATACTTTGGCCATTCAAAAATTTATAATTTAACTTTGAGCCCTAAAATAGTTTCTGTCTTCACCCCTAAACATACGATGATAGCTTGGATCAAAACTTGTACCCTTATCTAAAATGGAAGTTGAAACAAGTATCGGATCCTTCCCATTTTAGTGGAACCAGAACTATTATTCTGCAAATCATTTACCACCAGAATGTCCTCATCACATAGGTTGTTGATACTGGAGGGCCTTTGTTCTTGGTGTAGTACCAGCATTCTATTTGACGAGTTGTAGCTGAGTCATGAGCCACCATCACTTAATCTTTCTATGCCAGGGACATGATTATATTAACACCCCTACTCAACCTGGATGAACAACTTCTCATAAGGCGAGAGACCACCAAGAGCCTCCGTTGGCAGGTGGCAGACTGTTGATGAGTGTACTTCACTTATAACAGCATAGGAACGTAAGGGCAAGGAAGCCTTAAACTAAAAGGGATAGAGCTAGCTCAATTACATATCGATTATTCCATTTAACAACCCCGTTTTGCTCTGAGGTATGCAGATAAGAGAGTCGATCACCAAGGATTGTTGATAAAGTACGATATTTTTATTCCCAATCGCTCTATACTTTTGTATTAAACTGTGTATGAACAACTTATGATTTATCTTTTACCAAATACAACCAGTTGTTTCGAGTAAAAGCATCACATAATATAAGAATTATTCGATGACACATCGCAGGACCCCATGAATTTGAAAACAAGGACGAGTGACAAATCGTGTAAAACCTATTTTTCCACATAACTGATATTATAACAGACTACGACCATGACCTCTATGGACCCAAGGGAGGCGGGTGGGGATAGTCACCCCTGTATTTTAGATATTTTTTTGGTATTTTTCATTGATAATTTGTTTTCGCCCTCCAAAACTGTTATAAGTTCATCTCTACTAAAATTTTATAGGTTCACCCCTGAGGAAAACCGTGTATCCGCCCTGCCTCTAACTCCCTGATGCAATTGATTTACGATAAGATTATTGAGTGGAATATCAAAAGTTGATTGTTAGGCATTTGCATCAATTAGAACTGCTACAACACCAGCAACCATGAAAGGTTTACGACTTGCTGTGATAACGTATGCCTCATAATCCCAATCCCCAAAATTAATTATAGTAAAAGTTAGAACACTAAAAAAAATAAAACCAATAATAGACCTTTATATTTTTAGGATACTCAAAATAATTTTAGAACAAAAAATTTGTTTCAATTTTCGATTTATTAATATCAATTAAATCCTTTTAAAGATTTATTTGTTAGCTTGAAAAGGTATTTAAGTGTAATAAAACTATAAAAAAAATATTGTTTTTGTATTATATTTTAATAAATTTTAAGCGAAGGAAAAGAAGCAGTTAAAAACTTGCTCCAACGTTCTCAATCCCTCCTATGGCATTGACACCACCAACAGCCCCGTTTGGCGGTAATGAAGTTGCCGTTTGTTTTAACTAATAAAATTATATATCTTTCTTTTTAAATTTTTTTTAAGGAAAAAAATAGGCAACAGAGGTTGAGATTTACGAGCGAGAGAAGAAGAAGGAAGAAGGCGATGGCGAATTTGGTCGTAGGTCTCACCACCTTCTTCGTCCTCATAGCTCTTCTTGCTATTATAGGTTATCAGGTCAGATTCTTTTTTTGTATCCAATGTAGATCGTATGTTTTTAAACCAAAATTGCAATTATTTTAAAATTTTTGTTGCAGTTGATGTGTTTGGCGGATTTGGAATTCGATTACACTGATCCATATTATGATTCGGCGTCACGGATAAACAAGGCTGCCGTGCCGGAATTTGTAGTGCAAGCCGTCTTCTGTGTCGTCTGCTTATGGACGGGACAAGTTTTTTTGTGCTTCATGTCTCTCCCATATTTACGCTATAATATCAAATTGTAAGTTCATATATATATATATAGTCACTAATCCTTTCAAATTATCCTGTTCGCGTGTTTGTATAATCTGATATGAATTTGAAAATGAACGAACAGGTATAGAACGAAAAAGCATTTGGTTGATGTCAACGACTTGTTAAATTTAATTATCTTAAATTCATTTTTGTCGTTTCATCGACACTTTATATTTATTTAATTATTTATGCATAAATTGTATTTTGGGCCATTGTCAATCGATTCCCTCTCACATCTGATTCAGGTTGCTTCGTACGGTTGGAATTGATGATTGTTAAAGAGAGTTTGGTGAATATTCCACCTTGTTTTCAGGTACGATCTATAAGATTTTTATTTACATATAAATTAGATAAATTACATATTTAGTATATATATTATTAATTTTATTTCATTTTTATTCCTAAATTTAGGTTTTTAAAATCATACCTAACGTTTAGTTTAGGTTTCAATTTGGCATATTGTCATTAAAAACTTAACGGTGACGTCGACGTGTCACCATAAGATAATGTTATATAATCATTGAAAATAAAAATAAATAATAAATCATGTCAATAGTTCTATTAATTTTTTAACAACAAATACCAAGTTAAAACCTAAACTACGTTAGGTATGAATTTGAAAAAAAAATTAGATCAAAATGGAACAAAAATAATAATTTAAATACTAAACATGTAGTTTGTCCTATAAATTAATGTTTAAAAACCTGTTTTGAATGGTCAAAGATGATTACAAGGTAATTTTGTTCATAAATTTATTTACCAATTGATAACGCACATGCTTTAAATGTCTACTTGAACTCAGGACCTTTAGAGAGAATAATATTCTCTTTTATCATTAAGATCACTTGATGGTTAAAAACTTGGGCATACAAATTAAAATTTAATGATTTTCAATGTCGAGGATAAATTAAGATTCTTCTGCAAGGAAAAAACCAAAAGATGTCTGCCTGAAACATTAAAACCTAGGCGAATACCAGAAACTTACATTATCCTACAGTAATATTCAAGAACTCAGACTCCTCTCTTTGTCCAAGGGAACATAGGATCGAGATGAATGATTTGCTAAGTTATAAAACTAAATTGCGGGCAAAGATATGTTGATATCAGTTGCTGAATTTCTTGGCTCCTGTATGTTGGCCCAATTTCCTGTTCTGAAACTAGCAGTAGCAAAGTTCTGTTTCGAGGTATTCGAATTTTGTTGCGAATGTTGTACGTCGATGCCATCCTCTTCTTTTTCTGCATTTGATGCAGGTTCGTGGACCTTGTTCGGGTTCAATGCAACAGCATCTGGTACGGACTCGTTTCTCTGCTTCTTGGACTTTTGGTCGTGCTGGTAGCCCGGTAGAAAACTGCCGACGACAACCTGATAATTCGACGAAATATTAGCCAACACGTTCACTACCAAGATGCAGGAAATGTTAGGACGGCCAAAGATCAATTCCGGTGTTATTGCTAGGACTATTGGCTCTACGTTAGAGTAGTGGGCTTACCTGTACAGGACTAGCAGCTACAAGAAGGCCAGCAATACCTCCGCCTACAACACGTCCATCGGGGCTCGCCAATGAGACGCTCATCCCACCAGATCGACTTCTTGTCCCTAGTATTTCCGTAGGCATGAAGGACCCGGACAAGGAGAGTATCTCAAAACGACCCTACAAGAAAATAGGTTAGATAAGTGTTTCTTTTGAGGATAGAATCTTAGTTGTAAGTAGATGAACCGTAGTCGAGCATGATTGGATCCTCTAATGTACCAGATAAGTTAATAAGACTATGGTTTAAAGAATTGTCTCTTCCGAGATCCTATCTTCTACAAGAGTTTGCCATATTTATGAGCATATCATTAACATTCCGTACATAATTTACGTTTAACATATGGCTTCAAACCATATCATGTTCGTGTCCCCGGAATAAAACACAACATCGATACACTACAGTTTTGCAATAATAACAACCTTTGCATTCAGTATTCGATAAATTTTAATCAGAAACTGGACCTATTTTGAAATGTTATGGTAATCTCTAATTTGCCTAACCTCATACGTAACCGTACCACCGGAAGAATCCGGCTGACGAAGTGTAACGTTAGAAATTACTCCGTGAGTGGATAGGATGCAAATGGCTCTTGGTCCTTGTTGAGAAAACGACATCACCTTCATTGTTACATCCTTAAACACCAAAGAAAATCAAGATGATGAAAATAATTTAGATTCATTGATAAGTGAAAAAGAAACCTTCCTTGACAACAATCTCATAGTTCAAGAAGCAAATAACGATGATAGGAATGAATCATAAGATTGTTTGCTTATATAATTAACAAAAACCATCTCTTTCCCGTATAGGAACATACCTCACCGGGATTGACAGTGATGATATGCGGCGTAAAATTTGTTCCGACACGAGTCCCAGCCAAGTCACCTACAAAACAATATATAATCATGGAATTTTGCTGTTAAAAGTACAAAAAATATTTGCGATATACACCAATCATTCCCGGAACCAGCATTGTTCTTCCAAATCCGAACAACGGCATTTTCTATAAAGCCCCACGAAATCACAAATTGAACTTAGTTTGAGGCATACTATGAAGAAACAGAAATCAGAAGCATTAGTAAATCTATAACATGGCAAAACTTGAAACCGAAAACAGCTTACAAAAACCTGAACTAAAAGAAACAAACTTCCTTCGAAAGGGTGACCTTCATTACCTAAGTTCTCCATGTCCATTCCCTTATGATGTTTAATCTGATAACCACTGCCTCGGCCTCTCCCCTGCTTTCCACCACTCGAGAACTCACTCGAAACAGGCAAGACGGAGGACGAAATAGGCATAGGTGACAATGCCCTTGTCATTGTCCCATCCGGTCCATATTTCCTAGGCCTACCTCTTTTCTTCTTCTCTGTACTACCAGTTAATATATAGCTAACTGGCGGAACATTGACAACCGTTATTCCACCAACGATCTGGTCGGCATTTTCAGTCCTTGGTGCCATATGACAAGCTGATGGAGCTTCTGCTCCTATCACTGTAACACCTGAATTTGTTTCCATGCATATATTGCAAACCAAAACTATGCACTATAACTATATCAATACTTGCAGATTCAAGGCCAAACCACCTACAAAACATAAATTCATCAATCAATATATATATATATATATATTTAAAAAAGGGGGAAAATTAAGTCTAAGGCATTTGGGGAGCTAAAAACCTCTAAATACAAAGATCATCTGAAAGAAAAATAAAATAAAGAGCATGCAAAGATACAAGTGAAACTGCTAATACTTAAAGCTCAACTTTTTGTTTAGTTCACAGATCAGTTCCTTAAGCCATATTAAAAAAAAGACTCAATTTTGAAAATATACACCGAAACAAATTACAGACATAATAACCTAAGAAATATTTTCCCTATCTTTTCAAGCATTCAGTTTCATCTCGAAGAAAGAAAAGAAAAGAAAATCATTAAAGCAAGAATTTTCCTTTTCACAAAAAAAAAGTATATTAAGAAAACTTTGAAGTTAACAGATGTTTACACGTAGAGATCATTAACCTGTAACTTATAAATACAGCCCAGAAAACTCTTCACTGACACCACATTTTTCCTGCACTGAAGCAAAGTACTTTCAAAACCATTTTCTAGCCAACCAAACAGAGAAGAAATGTGAATTTGCTGAGAAACTGTTTTCTGAAATCCTGGTCTGAACAAAGGGGAAAATGTGTGGGGGAGGGGGAAATAGTACAAAATATGAATGAATAAAAAAATTTGTTTTAAATGATTATTAATTAGTAGGTAAAATTGATAACCCACAATAAATAAAATTTTGGTTAATAAGGAATTTCACGTCGGTTCGGTTGGGGGAAATTGAATATGAAAAATTAATTAAAATGGAGTAAAACAGTAATTTGGTCAAAAGATGTGGGAAATAGTTATTTTTATTCAATAAAATATATTATCTTTGTGTTTTAAAGCTGCAAAGTTAGCGTTGAAGGGCCGACCGCTGACCTGCTTTTTGTGTTGTTTTGTCAAATTAAGAATTTCAACATCTCATATTAGATTGTAAATGAGTTGTATATAGTTCTAATATTGTTGAACTTAATTCAAATATTTTTTTAGCTGTACCTTTTTCCCATATATATATATATATATACATATATATACATATATATATATATATATGTATATATGAGATAAGGGGATGTAAGATAGTAGGTTACCTCCAACACCAGGTTGAGAGCAGCTTCCGTAAGAGATCTCCGAATTATGAAATGCCCTCCGTGGAACTCGATCCCACGACCTCAAAATTAAGAACCTCGTGCTCTATCAACTGAGCTGGATGGTCATTTCAAAACTTAATTCAAATATAAATAGTTTAAATTTGAGTTTAATTTGATACAAAAACTCATAAATTTAAAATTATTAAATTTGATTTTAATTTAAAATTAGAAAATGAAGTTCGACTCAAAAGGTTGTGAGCTTAAAATTTTTAAGTTTGACTCAATCAAAAATTAAAGCTCAACTCGAGCTCAAAAAATCTTGAACTCAAAAATTTCTCAGACTTAATTCGATTGAAGTTCACTCAAGTTTTGTTCAAACATATATTGTCATAAAAATATATATAAATGTTATTATTATTAATAATCTAATTTACAAAAATAAAAATATAATATATTTTAAAATTATTTACGAGTTTTTTTGAATCGAATATTAAGTAATTAGCTTCAGCTTATTAAGAACTAAAATCAATTATTTAATTTAAAATTTTATCGAACTTTAATATAATCAAATTCTAATAGTTCGTGATATATCTTGTTTAGACTCAGATTAAGCTCTTGTCTTCTTGTCTTATTCACTCACGGCTGTCACTTTTTGTCCGGTCCAGAAATTTAAAATACAACAAACCGGACCGGTCTATGATCATGAAATACTATACAATAAACCGGAGCTTCTTTCTGATTGGTTGGCGTTTTTCTGAGTTCGTCACTTGTGGGTGATATGAGTTTATGTGACGGTAGAATATGATTGGATACTCTGACACGAGACCGTCTGTTAGTGTCAGATGTGCAATTATGTGATTGGGTGTGATTTTAAGCAGTGTGAAGATCTTTCATGCGCGACATGGTCAAATAAAATCCTGACCACGTTGTCATTAGCGCACATGCATGTGTTTTGATAAACTAAAATATATATATATTTATATATATATATAAATTAGTACAAATTTTAAAAGTATTAAATTTGTATGTTATATGTTTAATTAAAAATATATATTTATATATATTCATTAATTGTTGAAATAGTTAAAGATATTCATATTATCACACATTTTGTACGTGTTTAAATTCTAACATTTATTTCTAAAATATAATATTTAAAGTATATATCCTATATTTATGTTTTCAATATGTTTTTAGTCACAAATATTTAAAATATTTATTTTTATCTAAATATTTAAAATATTGTTATTAAAATAAATATTTAAAAATAAATATTTAAAGCATATCATACTTTTTATTTAAATATATAAACACCTATTTAAATATTTTTATCAAAACAAATATATAAAATATATTATTTATTTATTTAAAATATCTAATCATATATAAATATAATATAAATAATATATTTTTTAATTATCTTTGATCAAATTAAAGTATTTAAATTTGAACATGATCTAACATGAAATCTAGATATATAAATTTTTTTGGACTTTATTTTTATCTTGTCGAATTAAAATTAGTTGTGTATGTAACTTTTTTTTTGGACTTCCTATATATTTATATATATTTTGTTGACCTCCCGGTTTTAAGGTTTTGACTTGATTAATCTGGATCGACCCTCGTCGCACACCTGACTTTGGTGGGTGAGTCTCCCAATAGAATTTTTCTGCATATACAAGAACTCGAACTCAAGATCTTATTTATGTGATATCAAATTGTTTACCAGTTGAATCAACATATGTTGGTATCTAATTTATTTGTGTAATATAATTAGAATTTTCAATGTTACATCAAACACACTTAGTCTAATCATTTATATTGCATTTAAATAATTTAATACATCATATTACTTTTATTTAAAACATGACATTTATTTTATATAACTTTGAAATAATATTTATATTGTGATCAAAATTCACCCTCGTGAAGATGGACAATAATAGTTTAGAAAAGGTGTCCTCAACTATTCTCAGACCAGTGTCGCAAAATTTTAGATTTGGTCCGAGCACTCAATGTCTCTACCAAGAAAATGATGGTCTTCAAGAGTAATGAAACGACAAATGAAATAAATATGATTTGCGCATCTCCATCAACCTTTGTTTATTAACCAAGTGTGCATCAAATTCAACAATCAGTTGAATGGATTTGACAAAGTAAATAGATGGAGATTCTTAGTTACAATTCACAATCACATAAAAATTAGTTCCATATACAAAAGTCAATCATATCAGGGCCGGTTTTGGATCTATGCGGGCTGCCCAACCGCACAGGGCCCAATATTTATAAGGCCTCCAAAAAAAATTAAGTCAAGGCCTACATTAAATAATATTTGACAAATTATAAAAAGTAAAACCTAGATATTTGAGTATTTGCCTCCTCTCCTCTGTAGAAACAGAAACACACTGCAAAGTAAAAAAATACAAAAATCTATGCGCTCTCCTCCTCTCCTCCTCTCCTCTGCAACTATTTTCCAAGGTTAGTAAATGCTTTTATTATTATTTTATTTTGTCAAGATTATTAGTGTTTTATTTTTAGTTTATTAATAAAAATATAAAATAATTAATTATTTATGTATATGTGATGTTTCAGATTTCAGTGTTTGCCTCTCCCCTCATCTCCTCTGCGATTGCACTTTTATCTTTTTCAAGGTTAGTAAATATTTTTTATTATTACTTAATTTCTTTAAGATTATTAGTTTTTAATTTTAGTTTATTAATAAAAATATAAAATAATTAATTATTTATGTATGTGTGATGTTTCAAGATTATTAGTGTTTGATTATGCTCACTTTTCTGTAGCTTTATTTTTTATATTTTAAATTATTTTAGGTGTTATTTATGATTTTTAATTCTATATATAATATTAGACTAATAGTTAACTAATAGTAGTGTAAAAGCCATATTTAATTAGTTAAACTCTATCAAACAAACTATAATGATTCATAATTTTATTATAAATCAAACAAAATAGTAATAGTAAAGTATTTGAGTTACACACATATCTTATGTTTGAAGTTTCTAATTGTATTTGTATTGGCTATTTATTGAACATGTTCAGAGATTATGCCTCCTAGGTTAAGAAAAAATGAATCAGGACATGAAAAACGTCAAAAGAGAAAAAGACTCGAAGAACTCATTAAGTCTCAGAGTGGAGCTCTAAATAAGTTTAATCAAAGAGAACCACAAGTTTTTTCTCGAGATCAAAATGTTGTTAATGATCATGTTAATGATGTTGATGTACATGGCGAAGATGTTGATGATGCTAATAATGCTAATGTCGATGATGGTGATATTGATGGTGAAGGTGCGGATGATGTTAATAATGACCATGTTGATGTTAATCATGTTGATATATTTGATCCGAGACGTTGGGATGATCTTAGTTCTGACATGATTAAGGTTCTAGTATCAGAGGGTCCTAAAAGAGATATGTCATTTGAGAAGGGTCCTAAAGATAAATTTTCAAGATGATTTTATGCCGCTTTATATACTAGAATCCTCCCAAACAATGAGAAGGTGGATAGAGAATGGCTAGTATATTCCAAAGAGCTTGACAGAGTTTTTTGTTTCTGTTGTAAAATATTTAGGAAAGGGCTTGCAAAAGGTCAGTTAGCTAATGACGGTTTTGCAGATTGGCAACATCTTAGCACCAGACTTAAAGAGCATGAAGTTGGCCTAGAACATGTCACAAACATGGCTACTTGGCTTGATATGCGTCAGAGAATAAAAAAGAATGAAACAATTGACAAAGTGGCACAATAACAATTTGAAAAAGAGGGAGATCATTGGAAGAAAGTTCTTCAGAGAATTATTTCAATTGTAAAGTTCCTTGCTAAACATAATTTAGCTTTCCGTGGATCGAACGAGAAGTTGTATCAAAAGAGCAACGGGAACTTTTTGGGTTTAATTGAAATGTTGGAAGAGTTTGACCCAGTTATTAAAGAGCACGTGAGACGTATCACAAGTGATAACATCCATGTTCACTATCTCGGTCATACAATCCAAAATGAGTTAATAACTTTACTTGCACATGCAATCAAATCAGATATCATAAAAAAAGTTAAGCAAGCAAAGTATTACTCAGTGATACTTGATTGTACCCCAGATTCCAGTCATCAGGAACAAATGACTTTGATATTGAGGTATGTAAATTTCTCATCCACAAGTGTCAGTGTTGAGGAATATTTTTTAGGATTTTTAAATGTTAATGATACCACTGGTCAGGGACTTTTTGATACAACACAAGATGAATTGAAGTCACTTGGTCTTGATATTGATGATATGTGTGGTCAAGGCTATGACAATAGATCAAATATGAAAGGTAAACATCAGGGAGTACAAAAGAAATTTCTAAATATAAATCCTAGAGCATTTTATACTTCTTGTGGTTGTCATAGTCTTAATCTAGCATTATGTGACATGGCTAATACTTGTGGAAAAGCTAGAGATTTTTTTGGAGTAATACAGTGCATATACACCATATTTTCCAATT